TCTGAAAACTGAGAGTTTGTAATGATTTATTTGGCAGCAACACTTGACATGATGTGAAGAGGAGAGGCTATTGATAATCTTTAGCCCTTATGCATTCATTTCACTGCAGAAATATTAATGTATTTGTTACAGTGGCATTATGTATGCAGAATATTGCTTATTTATTTATTTATTTTAATATATTTTTATTGATTTCAGAGAGGAAGAGGGAGAGAGAGATAGAAACATCAATCAGAAAGAATCATTGATTAGCTTCCTCCTACATGCCCCACACTGGGGATCGAGCCTGCATCCCTAGGCATGTGCTCTGACCGGGAATCAAACCATAACCTCCTGGTTCATAAGTTGACACTCAACCATTGAGCAGTGGGTTGAGAGTTGAGAAATCCAAGCTTTATAATCTTGGGCAAATCATTTCACCTCCTTGGGATACTGGGTTGCCTTAGCTGTTAATAAGTGGATTAGATTAGATGATCTCATTGGTTCTTTTTTTTTTTTGTAAGTTCTAAAGTATTCCAACTTACAAGTGAACTCTAAATATCTACAACCCTTGCATGAAAATCATTTTTATAATTTTACAGATACTCTTCTTTTTGAAACTCAACTGTTCGTTTTTATAAGTTTAAAGTCATAGAATTTTAGGGCCAGAAAGGACTTTAGTTCAGTGTCCTTTAAGTTGGATTTTGCACATCCACAGAAGTGCCACAACTAAGTAGGTGAGGCTAAGACCAACATTCCCCTAAATTATATCTGCTTTAAATATTGGGGTCCTACATAGGATTTTTTTTGGAGGTAAGAGAGGAAAGTCCTCCGGGCTGTTCCAGTCGCCTTCATTTTGCAAATTAAGATGCTCATGCCCATGGATATTACATAGGTTGCCAAGTTGGAGACAGGACTGGGGCTCTTGGTTCCCTACGTTTATTAGGAGTGTTCAGTGAGGTATTTAGTCACAAATAAATATCAAGATACATTGTCCAAATCAACACTGCCCAGTAAAACTTTCAGTCATAGTGGAATTGTTCTGAGGCTGTACTATCCAATATGGCAGCCACTAGTCACATGTGGCTGTTGAGCTCTTGGAATATGGCTAGTGCAACCGAGGTATTGACTTTTAAATTTAATTTAATTTAAATCTGAATAGCAACGGGTAGTCCGTTGGTAGCTACCATATTGTACAAAGCAGATCTGAAGTTTTACCTTCATGAGTTGCCAGACTTAGAAACAGAATTTTTTAGAAGGGCAGAGATTTATTCGACCAAGTTATATTTCAGAGGGCAGATCCATGGCCTTATGAACTAGATTAAAGTAAATAGAGAAAATCCTCATTGTTGAATGGAGGAAATTATAGTAGAAAGTGGAATTATATTTTAATAGTCATTTAGAGTACCTAATCTTACATGGTGGCCCAGAATTCGGGAAACTGACTATAATCATTCTTTCATGATGGTTTATTTGAATTTATATTCTGATTCACCCCACAAATTCAGAGGCCTCAAATAGATGGCATTTTTACTTGAAAAGCAGAAAAATACAGTATCTCTCTGTTTTATTTGGATTTGTGCTATCTACCTATTTTAAGGTCCATATTTTTCTGTAAGAAAAAAACCACCCAAACCTAAAATTAGATATGCATGTATTTTCCTTTTTAGGATGATTTTTGTCTTCGTGATTTCTGTTACAAATAGAAAAATCAACTAGCTGACTAATGTCATCCATATACATGTTTGACCAGAGACCCATGGTAATAGAGTTGGGTTGATTGCTGTCCAAAAGTAACACAGTGCAGTGGCTGTTCACTTTTGGTTGATCCATTAGTGTGGTCTCTTTGTAAACGAACTATGAATAGAAAACAGGTTAAAATCTGAGATTTTCTTTTGTCTAGTTCTTCACAGAACTGCAAAACTGACCAAATACCTTGCTTCCTTGTAGTGTGGTTTCTTCAAGAGAAATAAGAAAGATCATTATGATGCCACATATCACAAGGCTGAGATCCATGCTCAGCCATCTGATAAAGAAAGGCTTACTTCTGATGCATAGTAGTGATCTACTTCTGTAATTGGTAATTGATCAATGTTTTTTAATTGCTAGCTGTGGGACCTGCTATGGTTGTGGTGGCTAACTTTCAGAGCAACAGCTTGCTATGTGTGTCCCATTAACAGATGTTTCCAAATGTCCACACTGGCTTGCCCTGCTTGGAATGGTTTTGTTTATGTCACTTGAAAGCTATTTTGTTTTGTTTTAAATGCACAGAGTCCTTTGTTGCAGGTGAGTTGTTTTGTGTTGTGTTAAACATCACCCATAGCAATGAAGAAACTGAAATCTGTACACACACAGAAGGAGGCTTCTAGCCCAGTCTGCCACATAGTGTGCATTTAGTATGCAGCATCCCATGGAATTTCGAAGGTGCATGAGAAATCATCCCCGATTTCTTGTCCATTTTGGAATTTCCTACCGATGGACGCCTGTGTTGTGCCTAATTAACCTTTTGCATGTTGGAAACGTGGTGTTTCTCTGGGTGAGAGGACTTTCTCACTGTCATCTTTTGCATCTCCTTGCTATAAAGATGGGGGGAGGTTTGGAATGCTTTTATTGTTGCTCAGAAATTGTTCTATGCTAGCTAAGCATGCACCTTCCTTTCCTGCATATCTCCCTCAGGTCAAAGACCATTGCAGCAAACTGTGACTATTGGCATGATGGACATTACGGCCAATTTCAGAAGGCAGTTCTTTACCAAAGTGTTACCTTCAATATCCAAATTTTAGTATAAAAATGCTCTGGACAGTTTTTATTTCAATGGACTTTGACCTTGTTTCATTTTCTTGAGATTCGATTCCACCTTGGGATTCAATTGACTTTAAGTTCATGTTTTGTTTCTCTTATTTGTAAAACCATGGAAACGGGAATTGGTGATGATTCCTTTTTCCATTCCTGTGGGCGTGAGAGGATAGAATTACTCCGACAGTCCCTTTCCATGGCACTGTCACAGTGAATCCCAGCATCTCCCTTGAATTGTTGCATATCACCCTTGCTTTCCTTCTTTGTTTAAATGGGGCAAGAGCACATTTTGTAATAGGTAGATCTTTTAGCTTTTTTTGCACAGAATAAAGGAGTCCATGTTGAAACGGCCTTAGAATAAAACTTCTTGGCCCATTATTCCTGTTTATGCAGTGATAACTGTATATGTAATTTTATTTTGCCCCATGACATTCTGATAACATAAATTAATTCAATATTAACATTCTGTTCCTGTTGGGTTCATGTAATAAACAAATTAATCAACCATTCCAAGTATCTTCCTCATCCTATTAACTGCATTTTTAAATTGAAAATATTCTTTTTTTTAAAAAAAAAAAAAGGCACATATATTTCATTCATTTAAAATATTCAATTTGATTTTTAAATATCTAGATATGTTCTCAAGAAAAACCTACTTGGAATCATATTGAATATTTTTTAAATGAATAAAATATACATTCATTAAAAAAGAACAATTAGGCAGCGTCTGACATTCAGTCTGGTGATACTTTCCTTCAGCTCTCTGTTGGTACCTGATTGATTTTATTGCAGGACAGAGTTACTCCCCGATTTACTAATGAAACCGCTTATTGGGACGCACAGCACCAAGCCCGGGCTGCGTGATTCTCCTTCCAGCTGGGGATGTGTCCCGCAGCCTCGGGGGAGAGAAGACTCTTAAACTGACCCATTCAAACACTGACATGTCCAAACTGTAACTTGTGAAATATCTGTGACCTGAGTTTCATTTCGTTAGTGGAAGAGGGGCATGAAATAACCTTTGGTTTATGGCCTCTAAAAAAATTGTTCAAAATGATGTTCTTCTAATCTAAAAGTTAGCTCTTTCACAGATAGTATTGGGATTATAAAAAAATGGGAGCACTGTTGCATAAACTTAAATTTCAGTAAGGAGAGAGCTCACATTGTTTCCAAATGTAAAAACAGTATGGAAAAAGAGACTTTCCTAGCAGCTTTACAACTATTTTTCTCTTCCATTTGTCCCCACTGGCTGTTAACATCTTCAGCCGATTAGTTTCGTCTGAAAAGAAAACCGTGTCTTTTTTCCTTAGTCCAGAGGTAGGCTGATCTGAACAGAAAGCTTAGATATTCCCGGCTAGTGCACTTGCTTTCCTTGGGATTACTAAACGTGCTTCTGTTTATCTTTCCCTCTTCTCCAGTGTGGATTCTTCAGACGCTCTAGGTACGATGAAAGCATTCCCCGATACCAAGCTGTAAAGATCCCGAAAGAAGAGCGAGAGATCAGAGATGAAAAATACAACGATCACCTGGAGAAAAAGCAGTGGATCACAAGGTGGAATGAAAATGAAAGCTACTCCTAGGGGCCAGAGGAGCGTCACAGCCCCCAGCTGCTTTTGTATTCCCCAGCTCAGAAATTCACATGGTTTAAAAGCCTGATCCCTGACTATTGAGTTCAGACAGACTGCACCATAGTACGAACCGACAGTTTTCACTGCTGTGGACATTGTTATGTAGCCTACGGCTCCTGTTTTGCACAGCCAAATGTAAGACTGTTGGAATGGATTTTTCTTTAACTGCCTTAATTTAACTTTCCGGGTTGCCTGTGTTTTTGGTGTGGCTGACTCACACGTGCCGGGGAAGGCCCCGCCCAGTTGCGCTCATCTGACATCCTCCCGCTAGTGTAACTGGAAGAAGGCGCCCGTGGTCACCGTCGGTGCTGCCTCTGCAAGCATTCTTCCCAATAGGACGGGAGAACCTGCGAGTTAACTGTCCCCCATCACAAGACAATGCCATAGGGGTAGCTGTGTTTCCATGTAAAGTGCTATCTTAAATTAAATGTGCAATAGAAGGTGATGTTGCCATCCTGCCATCTTTTTCCATTTCCCAGATGTGTGAATACCTGTTCACACCAAAGACATCCAGGTTTCCTTCTCCCTTTTCACTAAAACACACAGGCGCAACTGACTTGAATGCTAGTTTTCCTTATTTGTATATGGTATTTATTTTTTCTTTTTTACAAACCATTTTGTTATTGACTAACGGGCCAAAGATTCTCCAGTTTGTCCTGCAGGTTGGAGTAAGCAATCAGAATTAGAACATGGGAGGTCATTGGTTTGATCTAAAGTATTTACTGCAAAAAGAAAATAATGCTTTATAAATGTACCAGAGAGTTGTTATAATTTACAGATAAGTTATTGAAACATCTTCCTTCATGACATCCCTTACCTTGACCCCCTCCCTCCAAACCCAAAAGGTTTGTTTAAGAAATAGGATTAACCGTTAGAAGTTTAATTTTGAACAGACAATGGATATTTTTGAGTTTGGAGCCCTGTGTGACAATTCTGAATTTTATGCTATAACTTTCAGGAACTCTTGGAAAAAAAGGGGGTTTATTTCTTGACCTTTCACTGCTGTATATACAGGACTTGAAAGAAATGGTGAGTGCCTATGGTGGATCCAATCCGATCCAGTGGAAGACTACTGAATACCCGATACCAAAAGTCAGATTAGAACATCATGGCTTTTACGTTTTAAATATTATTGGAATCATGTCATGTGAGTCAGAGTTCTATTTTTTTGCTGTGTTTCCTCCCCTATGTATATTCCCCAAATTATTTTAGGACTACTCTAACAAGGACTTTAACTTGTTTTTTAAGTGTAAAAGTGGAGGAGGGGAGGAAGACATTATTCTTCTATACATTCAATAGAGATTGAATAGATATGAAAGCCAGATTTTAAAAAATGACTGTGCTTCAAGATGTTAAGTTATATGGGGAGCCAGAGCAAACCAGGTGCTAATTTGTTTGGATGTAATGTAAGCTGTGTCTCATTCTTTTAACAAAATACAGCTATGTACCATTGTTGCTTTGGAGTTTTAATTTTCTTTCCTTTTTGGAAATCTTATACCCTTAAGATACTAAGAACATTACTCTAGTTGTACTTTAGAAATTTCATTCACAAATACTGTTTTCCAAATGATATTTTGTTTACAAAAATTTCTTGAGAACAGGTCATAACAGTGTTTAAAATCTCAGTTTCTTGCTTAGGTAACTTGGAACCCAATGTACTTCATAGGTTGCTAAGAAGCTGATATTTTGAACGTGTGTATAGGCCCTTGTTATAAAGACGAATGTCCTTGGGAAGGGGTGAGGAGGTGGGTGCAAGGGTGGCTCAACAACAAAGAAACAAGAATGTGGTGGTCTTTATGTTTATAGTTGTGAAAAATGTCATCTCAAGTCAAGTCACTGGTCTATTCTCATTTGATACATTTTATATTAACTAGCATTGTAAAATTATTTCATGATTAGAAAAACCTGTGGATATTTGTACAAAAGTATGAAATAAATTTTTTTATGAAAGTGTTCATTACTTAGTAACACAGCATTGTATATGTGAAACAAACTAAAATTATAAGTAACCTGAATTGCTTTTTTTATTTCATTAAGCCCAACTAAAGTTTTTGATGTTTTCATTTATTCTGAGTGCCCCATATAATCTCAGATCAGCAGAAGCTATTAGTGTGCCCCCACAAATGCGATTGAGGGTTGTCCCCCCGCTTGGCTTTACTGTTAAGTTGATACTCAAAAGAAAATGATCTTAAAGATGGTTTATTCAAGACATCTACACATATGGAAATGTCTTGCATTGATTCATCTGCTTCAAAGGTTATGCCTGTGAAGGAAAAGGTATTATTCAGCAATGATGCCATGGCATGAAAAATCAGAGTTCTTATGGCTAAGCTGCTTTCTTAGAACACCTTTTGGATGTGAGAGCAGTCCAGCTGTGACATGTATCATTAAACTGAACACCAAGGACTGATTTAGCAGAGTTGAATGGTCAGGAAAAAAATTTACCGAAGGATTTTATTTAGATTGAAGTGGTTTTATGAAACTTCTCTAGCTGGGTTATCACAATTTAATAAATGAAAATAAAGCATATAGCCCTGGCCAGTGGCTGGTGTGGCCCAGTTGGTTGGGCATCATCCTGTGCACTGAAAGGTTGCCGGTTTGGTTCCCAGTCAGGGCACATGAGCAGGTGGTGGGTCCCTGATAGAGGGTGTACATGGATGCTCTCACATCCATGTTTCTCTCCCTCTCCCTTCCTTTCTCTAAAAAATCAATTAAAAAAATTTTTTTAAAAAGAGTCCTCCAACAATGCTGATTAACACAATTAAAAAATCATTTTAAAAAAGCATGTAATAGTGCCCAGACAATACAGCATGCCCTACCTATCCTGAATAAATTTCCAATCTAAAATGTGTTATCTGTCCAGTATTTTCCATTATACTTAGTATTATACAGTAAATTTTAGCCTTCTTAATTCTTTGAAGATCAAACAGGTGTTACCACGTACTTTTTAATGAAGGGCCAGAGGCTGTGAACCTTTTTTTAGCCACAGTCCCATGGATATATCCAGATTAAATATCTGTAATAATGTGTAACCATTAAAGATGTCCGTAGCTGTGGTCTGGCTAGGGCTCTGGCATAAATGACCCGGGCTGGAGGTCATAGCAGTGCTGTATATGGCTCCTGTGACTCCACCTCTTTCTCTCCCTCTTGGATGGGAGCATACAGGAATGCCTAGCCGTGGTAATGGTATTGCTAGTATAGGGCTATCCTTGGGTCCAGTTGCAAACATTGACACTTTGTTGGTTGCAGAGCACTTGCTATTATCTTACATATGAGTCATGCACAGTCATGGCTTATGTTGTGTCCTTGTGGTTGAGAATATTCTAGAATGTAGGGTAGATGTAGGTGGGGAATGCTTTTAATTGTCCAGACTTGGGAAGTAAGCATAAGATTGAACATTCTATCCTAAATGAAAACATCTTAACGAGAAACTGATCTCTAGTACACAGCCCACAAAAAGACAACGTGGGAAGACAGACTGGGGTGGTTAGGTTGTTTTGTTTTAAAGGAGGGAAAGAAGGAAATGCTGTAGGTGGCTGGGTTCCACATACGGACGTCCTCAGGGCTGAGAAAACTGAATGTGGAAAAGTTATTTGATCAGCTTGTAGCGTAAAGTAAATGATTAAAGGCAGTTCCTCGAATCAAAGGAGAGGGTCCAACTGAGGGGAAGGCAAGGTTCAATGAGATGAAGAAAGTGAACTTGAGAATGATTTCAAAGGAGTGGCTATTGCAAAGAAGCTAGTAGGCGTCTGTTCTGGGAGTTAGTGATGGTTAAATGGCAAGTGAGTATTTCTTGTTCCTCAAAAAACAGGTTTTGTTAACTCAGAAAGACATCCTATCCAGCTGTTAGGATATGTGAGAGTGGTGTGTACTAGTGGCTGGAGCCAGAGGTGTTGCCAACAGACCCATCTTGGTGGAAAGTTATAAAGGGAATTCAAGATTATATCCTCTGATGAAGGATAAGTGAATTGTAAACACAAATCTGAGTGAGAAAACTGTTATAGCACAGTGCAGGGGTGGGCAGGTGCCCACCAAGGGCAAGCTAACCAGGTAATGGTTGATTACACTGAAGTGAAGGAGTCAAGATTTTTGCAGCAGTCAGCAAGTTTAAATGCCTCAATCTTCTCTTCGCCCTTGCCCTGGAGCCATTCCTCAGTCAGGCTGCCTGTGCCAGGGTCACTGAAATGGGCAGAGACAGACCTGTTGGAGGTCGGATAAAACTTCTCGCACGCTGTTCTGGAACATCCACAGGGACCAGCAGATAAATATTTAATTCCTCAATAACCAGCAGATTTGAGTTTTCTGTGAAGATCCTGTCATTGTGAGATGGAGACAGACATGGTTCAATCATTTTCCCTCCAATGTCCAAGGATGTTATTCGGCTCTGGGGATACACATACAAAAAAGACACTGGCTCTGACCTTTTAGAGCAGTGGTTCTCAACCTTGGCTGCACATTAGAATCACCTGGGAATCTTTTTAAACTCCTAATTTCTGGGCCTCATCCTCCGGAAAGTCTGTTTCTTTGTTACTAATGTTGTGGCCCCACCCCATAACAAAGAAACAGAATTTCCGGAGGATGCGTGGAGCTTGTCTTTGGAACCAACACCAATCCCAGAAAAACTGGAGTAGTCATTCTGAACCTGGGCTGCACACTTGAACACCTCAAGAACATTTTTTAAAATCCCAGTGCCCAGACTAGATGTCTGACTGACTATCAGAACCTCTGAGGGTGGGACCCAGGTGTCAGTGCTGTTTAAGGCTCCCCAAGTGACTCTTAAACTACAGCCAAGTTTGAGAACTGCTTCAGTGGTGTCAGATGGCCTGAATATTTATCGAGAGGGCTCTGCCCACTGTGGGAGTGCCCCATTTCTGCTTGCGGTGCCTCTACACTAGTAAGGAGCTGAGACGGTAGAGGTATATTTGCCATAAGGCTCAAGTCATGCTATCTGGATATAAATTAGCTTCCCCTCTTGGAATATAGTCCTGGTGAGTGACTGACACATCGCACCCCCGTTTCCTCTATAACATAGGATTAATAATAGTACCCATCTCATAGGGCCTTGTAAAGAGTAAATGAGAAGATCTGGTAGTGTTCATTAAATGTTAGCTGTTTTTTAAAAATACATTTTTACTGATTTTAGAGAGGAAGGGAGAGGGAGAGAGATAGAAACATCAATGATCGGCTGCCTCCTGCATGCCCTCAACCCAAACATGACCGGGAATTGAACCATGACCTCCTGGTTCATAGGATGATGCTCAACCACTAAGCCACACCGGCCAGGCTAAATGTTAGCTATTTTTATAGTCTGGTTTTACTTCCTCATTTCACAGATGGGTAAACACAGTTTAAGTTGTCACTGGAACCTTCTGTCTGTCTCCTCACTCTTCAAAGTCTATCATGACTTATCAGAGGGTATGAGAGCTACAATCTGCAAGACTAACTGCCCTTAACTAACTAAACAAACAAACAAACAAACAAAAAAGAGATCCTAACTCTTAAATTTAAACTTCTTATCAATATAGGTCATTTTGTACAAGACTGACCTTTTTTCTGTGTTTAAACTCCATCGCAGTACTTACTACAGAGACCATCTGCAGGTTTGGGTTGGGGTCAGAGCACACAAAGTCAGTGTATAGGCATCTTGAGGTTGCTATGTACTGATTCTTGATTAAAAAGGAAAAGAAATGTAAGTATATAAAGCAGATTCTTTTTTTTGAACCCTTTCTCAGTTCTTTACACACATGATAAAGTCTCCTGTTTCCTTCAGTGGGAGGGCAGCCTGCAGTTTCGTCACTTATATCTTTGCTGCTGTGCAGAAGAGGGAATGCTGCTCACAGAGCCATCTTGTGCTTGAGTTACACCATGTGTGTTAGACCAAAGTTGTCACTGGAAGAGCAGAGTACAAAACCTCCCATTTCTCTCCAACAAAACTCCCTTTTTTTGTTAAAGGCAAAAAAAAAAAAAAAAAAAAGCATTTCCCCTAAGATTGGTGAGCTGTCTGATTCCAGGTGTCCTCAAATTGCTGCTGGAGCTGCAGTTCTAGGGCATTTACCTAACCGAAGAAGCCACCGCTGGTTAGGAAGTCAGAATCAACAGAGTGGTTGAGAGCAGCCCTCCTCACACTTTAACATGCCTATGAATCACCTGGGATCTCGTTAAGATGCAGGTTTTGATTCAGGAAGCCTGGGATACAGCCTGAGAGTCTACATTTCCAACAAGCTCCAGGTGCTGTGATGTTGCTGGCCCATGGATTACATTTTAGGTAGCAAGGATCTTTGGAGTCAGTCTTTGTTCAAGTCCCTGCTCTGCCACTTTCAACTTGGGTGACCTTAGGCAAGTTTACTAACCCTTCATTGTTTAACTTCCTCATCTATAAAGTGGTAGAGGGACAACTAGGATTATAACCTAGGTTTCCAGCCAAAAGATACCATCTTCTCCTTTCTCTAGAACTTCCAATCCCCTAACATCCTCAAACATAATAAAGAGCAACCAGGGCGCATTTTAGTCTTTGTTATATCTGAGCATATAGCTTGCACTGTCTTGCCAGGATAGTCTTAGACTACTGCTGTGGGCCATGCTTTCAAGATACCTGCCCTGCTGGAAACAAAAACCCCATTATAGTGAACAACAGAATAGGGAACAATATGCCAGTTCTAGTAAGTGGCTCACAGATGTTGGTTTGGTCATAGTCACTTCTCTAAATCAGCAACAAAACAAAAAGATTGAAATAAGGTTCAGGCTTACTTTAAGAGTGAAGTGTTTGCAATCTTGACATTTCTCAGGTATCAACTATCCAGTTTTTCTTTGCCAGTTCCCACCACAAGCAATCCAGATACTCCTCCCAGCCCTACCTGGTTTGGCTCAGTGGATAATATCCGTGGGCAAACTACGGCCCGTTTGAAATGAATAAAACTAAAAAAAAAAAGACCGTACCCTTTTATGTAATGATGTGTACTTTGAATTTATATTAGTTCACACAAACACTCCATCCATGCTTTTGTTCCGGCCCTCCAGTCCAGTTTAAGAACCCATTGTGGCCCTCGAGTCAAAAAGTTTGCCCACCCCTGGAGATCATCGGCCTGCGGACTGAAGGTTCAATCCTGGTCAAGGGCATGTGTATATCAGTTGCAGGCTCCTCCCTGGCCCAATTAGTCTTGCACCCACCTGACTCCATACATAGTTATTACAATATTATTGATTATATTCTCTGAACTGTACATGTCTGTGACTATTTTGTAACTGCCAATTTATATTTCTTAATCCCTTCATCTTTTTCATCCAACCCCCCTTCTATCTGGCAATCATCAGCTTGTTCTCTGTATCTGAGTCTGTTGTTTTGTTTGTTCATTTATTTTGTTTTTTTACATTCCACATATAAGTGAAATCATGTGGTATTTGTCTTTTTCTATCTGGCATAATACTCTCTAGGTTCATCCATGTTGTCATAAATGATAAGATTTCTTTCTTTTTTATGGTCAAGCAATATTCCATTGTATGTATGTATCACATCTTTATCCATTCGTCTTTTGATTAGAGCATTTAATCCATTTACATTTAAAATAATCATTGATGTGATATTTTTATTGTTTTTGTAGTTCGTCTCTGTTCCTTTCTTCTCCTGTTCTCTTCTCTTATATGTTGATGATTTTCTATACTGTTATGTTTGTAATCTGTTCTCTTTATTTCTTGTATGTCTCTTGTAGATTTTTGGTATGTGGTTACCATGTGCTTCATATATACCAAGCTATGTTTATTGAAGTCTATATTTTAAGTTGATGGTTGCTTAAGTTTGAACACATTCTAAAATCACTGTTATTTTTAACTTACACCCTCCACATTTATGTTTTTGTCATTATTTTTTACTTCTTTTATGTATAGTGCAAGTAGTGATGGCCAGAGAAGAGTTAACTGGTGGTGGCCTCTTGATTCCTTTGGATTGCAGCTAACAAGTATTTTCCTTCACCTCAATTTCCAGTGACTGCCTCCGAGCTCCCTGCCTCAGATGTTGGTTTGGTCATAGTCACTTCTCTAAATCAGCAACAAAACAAAAAGATTGAAATAAGGTTCAGGCTTACTTTAAGAGTGAAGTGTTTACAATCTTGACATTTCTCAGGTATCAACTATCCAGTTTTACCTGATTATTCTAGAAGTTAGAGCACACTTCAGTCTATTTTGAATACTTATAATCCCCTGAATTAAATCTCTTCATGCCAATAATATCTAGAGCGGTCTCTATTTTGAGCATTGAATATAGCCACTTACTCAAAGAAAATGCTAAAAGATCTAGGAGATTAAAAGAGAAAACCGGTAGAGAGGAGGTAGCTGTCTTCCTCCAGCTAACGCTGGATCCAGAACACTTTTATTGCTTTTAAGGTCAACTTGACTCTCAAGATACATGTCCAATAAATTCACATAAAGGTGAACCTTTTTTTTTTTTTTTCTAAATCTCCAAGAGAGGGTGGAAACATGTAAGTACATCACGAAAGGAAACAATCAGGAAATAAAAATAGAGGGAAATGTGAAAAGTAATCAAGTTTGAGAAAATACCATATTTCATAGACTGAATGTGTTAATTAAATCCCAGTAATGAATTTGCAAAAATGAAAAAATCTCTTAGAAATTTGTAACTATACAACAATATAAGAAAATATATTCACAGTCTGCAGGACATGGAAATAGATAGTGAGTGTGTGGTGTTTTTACCTGCCCAGCATCCCTTCTTTGGGTAAAAGGATCTGCTGCATACTTTGGGGAACCTTTCCTAACTCAGTCCATGAGTGTGTGTCTGTGTGTGTGTGTGGGGTGTGTGTGTGTGTGTGTGTGTGTACCACGTCTCCTCACATGTTTCCAGGAGTGTAAACATGGCTCAAACATGCCCAATCAGAGTCAGTCTGGTGCTTTTCTTAAACAACAAGGGAGGTCTCATTCCTAAGGTTTTGCCCATGTAGGACTACTCTGCTATCTCTGTCATTTTGAGGAAAGAGTCAGCCTTGTGAAGCCAACACTAAGGACAGCAGAACTGAAATATGGGGAGGAAAAGAGAGGAGGAGGAGGAGGGCAAGAGGCACTCTGATGCTTTGTATCCACACTGTACCTGAGGAATTTTTTGGGACACGAGACAAAATAGTCTCTTTTTATTTAAGGAGGTTTGAAATGGGTTTTCTATACTTGAGTCTGCAAGAGTCCTGCCTAATATAAAGCAAAATCTGTCAACCCCATCTCATCTCTGAAAGGACTGTCAAGAGAAGACACATATTTGGCTTTATGAACTTCCTGTTGTTAGATGGTTTTCCTATGGGTTTCCCCCACCTTTCCCCTCAGCTTCAGCTGTATGCTGCCTCCTGCTAAACAAATATTGCAAATTATGTGGGGATTTTCCCAATTTCCTGCCTAGATTTGGGCCCTGGTCTCATTTACTTTAACACGCATGTTCTCTCCACTTGGCTACACAGCCTCAGCATTCTCCTCTGGAAAACGAATTCACTGGCTAGTGCCTGTCCCACAGAAGGTGTTCAGTAAGAGAAATAGCCCTAATCATTGGAGAGGGTGAGCGACTTAGTGAAGATTACACAGTTAGAAAGTGGAGGAGCCCTGATTCCAGCTCAACTCTGCCCACATCAATTCCACACATTTCTTAAACATGCTGATAAAGCCTCCTAGTCAGATGCATGTCCCTCCTCCCATCTACGCAACCCTTCCAGTCCCTCAAGACCTTCCTCAGGCATTTAACCTCTCCCTCTTCATTACAGCCAGTTGGCTTCATGGATCCCTCACTGCCCACATTTAGACTACTCAGACTTTTCCATTGTCAAATCCATAAATAAACCCATGCAGCTCCATAACCCTTTCCAAGGACTATTTACAGTTGTCATCTTTACTTCCTCATCACTGTGCTCATGTCACGTATTCCAAAGCCGCCAACAACCGTTCGATTGTTAAGTCTAAAGCTTTCTTTTCCTGATTCATTTTATGTCACTGCTAAAGCATATGTAACAGTACCAAATGCCCCCTCATTTTTGAAAGCCCTCCTTCCTTGGCTTCTATGATTGGTCATTCCTTAAGTATTGTTGCTGTGAGGGCTTGTCTCTGGCTGCTTACCCTCCACAGGTGATCTCAACTCCAATTACCATTTGCATTAGAGACAGTGAGCTCTCTCTCTCTCTCTCTCTCTCTCTCTCTCTCTCTTAAAAAATTAACTTGTTATTGTTGAACATTTTCTCTTTTTACCATGAAAATACAAATGTTAGCTGGACAAATAAACCACTCAGTATAAAACCCCTCTTTCTACTTTTGTTTCACCTCGGCATAGCCATGTGGCATTAGTTGCATGGAAATGTTTGGAACAGGCAAAGGGAAGTCAGATGTTATAGGCTGCCGTGCTGTGTTCCTTGTTATGCTATGCAAAACATCTAATAACACCATCCTCTGTGATACCTTGGAAGGTGACTGTGATCCAGCCCAGGAGAAAGGGTAGAAAAAGACTCAGGTGCTGGTGTCTGTTGACTGCCGTCTTGCTGCTTTTAGCACAGTCCTGTGAAGGCGATGAGCTCAAACAAGAGGTACCCATTTGGAGGCAAAGACGGAAGGGAACAGAGCTCTGAAAGGGGGATGTTTTCCACTTGCTGCCTAAAATCTTAACCCAACAACCTAATGTGGGTCTTACAGGGTTAAACAAAGCCATGGAGCCCAGCCCTGGCTGGTGTTCTCAGTGGTTAGAGCATCTGCCTGCCCACCAAAGGGTCTTGGTTTCAATTCCCAGTCAAGGGTGTGTAGTAGGTTCAGGGCCTGTGTGAGAGGCAACCAAACCATGTGTGTCTCTCACATCAATCTGTCTCTCTCCCCACCTCCACTCTCTCTTAACACACACACACACACACACACACACACACACACACACACACACAACCCAGTGG